CATTTATTTCTTCGCGTCGAAAACTTTTGTTTTTAAATGTAAGTCCACAATTACAATTCATGCTAACGGGGTTGGCTAACCTGTTTAAAAAGCCAACAGAAAGTTGACATAAAGCTGTCGAAAAGATGTCAAAACCATAAAAAACTTAGCGAGTGACAAAAGTTCGCTTCACGATTCACTGAAATTGTTCACAAATCTTCTTCATCTGAAGACTCAATAAAATGTCTGCGTCCCAAAGCTCTGTCACGTGACATACGTCCTCAAACTGAAAGATTTCGATGGCTTATTGGGCTTACGCATGCATAATGCTAAGCCCACAAAAACGCAACAATCACTTCAGGAAGAAACGTTTGAGTGCGCATTCGCATAGTGAGGGCTAATCGAACTCACCTGCTACCCGCTTGTTGTTCCCGCCATCGGAAAGCTTCGTTTTCAAAATATTTTAGTTTAGTATACTAATTATCTCTTTATTTTCAGCATTTTTAAAAACACTGGTGGCAGAAAGTAAGATGAAATGTTTAAAGGAGGAGGTCACTCCAAAAAACGCTTTTTTTTTTCAACGCTCATAAAAACCTCGCGCTAAATTTAGCCTCTCACCGAAATTTCAACCTGTAAATTCCAGATTTTCCTTATGAAATTCGTCTCTAAAGAAGCCCAAAATCCGACATCGTTGCCGCCATTTTGAACAGTACTCGGCAGCAAGGCTGCGTTTTCGTCACGTCATTCCGTTCAAGGGAATTTGTCCTGATGGCTTCCGACAAGCCTTTTAACTACCACATTGGGTCATGGCTGCTCTTAAGCTGTATTGTTTTGAGCAAAACGTGCTCCAAACCCGAAAATGATAAAAGATAGTGCAGTGGACAATCGGTTGAAAAAAAAAAACGTTTTGCTGACCTTGTGAAGGATGCCAAGTTAGTTGCAGTTTTGTCTGCTTCCCGCCAATTTCGAGTTGGACGGAATGATGTCACATAAACACGGCCTGGCTGCCAAATACAGTTTCAAAATGGTAGCCTCCAAAGTCGAATTTTGCGCTTCTTTCGAGACGAATTTCTTCAGGATAGCAAGCACTTTACAGGCTGAAACTTCAGTGAGTGCAAAAGCCCACCGTTTACTTGCTATAGGTGGAGGAAAAAAGGTAGGCTTTTTGGAGTGACCGAACACGTGATTTTTTGCCTGTGTTCTGCAGCGTTCTTTGCCGATGCCAGAGATTGCGAAAAACAAGCATAGTAGCGTACAGGTAGTACTTTATTTGCTCCATGCCCCAGCCATCTGAGCTATTTTTCTTCATAAATGACACAGTGTATTGTAGATTTAGTCTTTACTTAAAAAATAATAGCAATAATTCAAATTTACAACGTGCAGACTTCCTTAGGCTAAACTAAGATAAAATTCTGTGATGTTCAGTTGTGCAGAAAAATTACATAAAAACTAAAATACACTTAAAATATAAATAAGGAAGATGAAATGACAGTACTTTAATGTGGTTCCCTATAGTTTATTGACCGCGCAAGAACTGGTTTCGAAAATCGCGCGAGCTTTCAAATGTCTACGCGAAAGTCGCACGCGAGCTCGCGTAGTAAAACGTCGACAAACATGGCGTAACATTTTCAAAATATGTTTGTCGCAAAAATTGCGTGAATCTCCTTCGGTTTCAAAATATTTATCTACTGAATAGAAGACCCTACCTTTCTCTGCGTGATTTAAAAGAGAAAAGTACGAGGTACGTAGGAGTTTAAACCAAAGAAACTGATTTGTCCGATCGTCACGATCAGGCGAACTACTTGCACGGGGCAAAATAAGGTAGAATATCACCACACGTTTTTGCAATCCTTGGCGTTGTATGTGGAGCAGACACAACAGCCAACAGCCAAGATACGAGGGATGAGGATTCTGCTAAATCTGGAATGAGCCAGGATGTTTCTCCCCTCAAAAGCTAAGTCGTGTAACGAGCTCGCAGAGCGCGAACAGGCGCTTCGGAAATAGGAAACAACAAATACACAACAACAACAACAACAACAACAACAACAACAACAACAAAACACACAAGGTCGAATTGTAGCACCCGTCATTGCTCATTTCCAAGACGCTAACCGTCCATAGAGTAAGAATTCCTTCTTCTAAATTTTCATCTTCAAAAATGTGTCGCAAGATTGCCCAAAGTAGCTTTAGGTAGGACATATGAGCTAAACACGATTCTTGTCCCACTCGAACATGCCAATGACACCAGTGGGTTATTCAAACGCATGCGCGCGTGGGCGTCTCAAGATTTTATAACGTCAAAAACAAGCCAACGAAGAAACACAGCGCTTGTTTTCTTCGTGTTTTTTTCGGTGAAATTTTGCGAAAGTTTGTAAACCTCATGATATAGATGCGTTCTTCACAATGTCATTTTTTGACAAAATTTTATCTCGGGATTTCTCTTTTTTTAACGATTTTTACGGATCTACCAAAATAAACTTTTTATTTTTTCAAATTAAACCTTTGTCCGAAATCGTTTTCACAAGACTGCCGAGCTTGCGATACACTGATATGAACGAAAAAGAAACCCCTCGTATGTTGCTAATCTTCACTGCGAATGCCGGGAGCTTAAACCCAAAGGCAAAAGAAACAGTTCATTTTTAGTTTTCCATCCTTCT